ACAAACTCCGCCATGACTGATTCAGGCTGGACATAAGAAAGAACTTCTTGGCTGTCTGAGCCCCCAAGGTTTGGAATAGACTGCCGCTGGAGGCAGTTCAAGCACCCACTTTGAACGCCTTCAAGACACATTTGGACGTTTATCTTGCTGGGATCCTATGATCCCTGCTGACTTCCTGCCCATGGGGCAGGGGGCTGGACTCGATCCTCCGGGGTCCCTTCCAGCCCAGATGTCTATGAAATCTATGAAATATTGTCCATATTTTATTCCGTCAGCATATTCCTTTGTTCAACAGACCCATCATGAGCACGCCTCTTAATCTGGCCTTTTTCTGGTGGCCTACTTTGGGCATTGTCTGTTGGTCTCCCTTCTCCCCTTTCATTAACACATCCAATCATTTCATCCCTCTGATTCAGCTGGTTAGTGCCAAGTTCCACTCATTTGAGCTAGTAACAAAACTATTACTATGTTGTGTTAGAAAAACTTCTCACAGTGATAGAAAAGGAAGGAAACACCATGCGAGCAAACTCAAAGCCATGAGCTCCTTGCAAGAGGCAAGGCCAGCTGATCTTGCAGACACCAGCAAAATGAAAAGTGCAGATAACAATGAGGCTATTCAGAACTTTAGGCTGAATATAAAAGAAAACTTTAAACAATACTGTAATTTACCACTCTATCAACAGATGCAATTTTAAAGCATGAAATGAGACAAGCTACCCTAACAACCCCCTCTTCGCTCCGCCCTGGGTTGTGGCCACAACTGGGCTCCAGTGTGACAGGACCCAGCTGTGGGGCCTGGGGCCATGGGCTGGGTGGTTACCCAGAGCCTGGAGGCACCATAGCCCTTTCTGTGGCTGGGCTTTGAGCTGGGCAGGGTTGTGCCAGCACCAGCCCAGTGGGACGTGAGCCCCAGGAATTGGGTCCTCACCCTTGAAGTGGCCAAGAAGCCACGAGCGGTTCACTGCATGGGCAGGCATCCTTTATAAGGCCCTGAGACCCCTGGCAGTCAGGTCCCAGCTCCCTTCTTACACCCCAACAGTCTCATCCCCTGTCCCCTCTTCCCCTGCAACCAGGTACAGAAGAAAGTGGATCCGCGTGGAGCGCAACCGCGAGAAGCAGATGATCGACCTGCACACAGGGACGCCCTGGGAGTCGGTCACCTTCACTGCGCTGGGCACCAACCGTGACATCTTCTTCAGCATTCTTCAGGAAGGTAAGGGGCCCTACCTGCCCCTGCCCGCTCCTTTTCTGCTGCCCCCTGTCACCGTCAACCCTCTCTCCCTCCCTCCCTACAGCCCGGGAGCTGGCTCTGCGGCAGCAAGAGGGGAAGACGGTGATGTACACGGCAATGGGGGCTGAGTGGCGGCCGTTCGGGTTCCCACGCCGGCGCCGCCCGCTCGCCTCAGTGGTGCTGGATGAGGGTATCGCGGAGCGGATCGTGCAGGATGTGCAGGAGTTCATCGCCAGCCCCCAGTGGTACAGTGACCGAGGCAAGGCACTGCCCACCCCACCTCCCCTCTCAGGGCTCCAAGAGCTCCCAACACCCCTGGGCCGGTCGTGGCCTGGCTCTGCTCTTTTCTGGCCCCAGGTCTCCTGGGATGGAGGAGACTCCATTCAGGGACCTTGTGGCTCTGGGATGCTGTGCATTTGCCCTCCTGACTCCTGCCATGGATGTATCCCATCCTGGTTCCTTAGGCCCCTTCCCTGGAGAGCACTGCCCCTAACGGCTCCTGCTGTAGTGCTAGAGTCACATAGTCGGTCCCCTCCCTGGAGCACAAGGCCATGGGGAGTGGTGCCATCCTTGTCCATCGGGTGCGACTGCGGCAGGGTCAGGGCTGCTTGGGGCCTGGCTGCAGCTCCTAAATCCTTTCCACACCCCGCCAGGGATCCCCTACAGACGTGGCTACCTGCTCTATGGGCCTCCAGGCTGTGGGAAGAGCAGCTTCATGTAAGTCACCTGCTCCCTCTGGCTTCCAAGTGTGGGGGATGCTGCTAAGAGGTCCCCTGAGGCCTGTAGAGGAAGGGGGTTTGAGGGGCTTCACAGCAGCTTGGTGTGGGGGTTGGAAAAGCCAGAGGCTGGCCCTCTGTCTGCTGCTGGGCATATGAGGTACCTCTGGGCTGCAGGGCAGGAAGGACCTCTCCTGTGGGTCTCGGGGGGTGGGGATCCCTGGCACGTGTCTCACCCTGCTGCATGTCCCCCGCACAGCACAGCCCTGGCCGGGGAGCTGCAGTACAGCATCTGCCTGCTGAGCCTGAGCGACCGGAGTCTGTCCGACGACCGCCTCAACCACCTGCTTAGCGCGGCCCCACAGCAGAGCATCGTGCTGCTGGAGGACGTGGATGCTGCCTTCGTCAGCCGGGACCTGGCTGCTGAGAGTGAGGGGCTGCTGCAGGCACTGGGCATTGCTCCGGGCAGAGGGCGGGTGAATGTGTCCAGACTGCTGGACCCAAAACACCAGGTGATCCCGGCGCCTGTGTGGTCTGAGGCTGCCTCTAGGTCCCTGGTCCAGCCTGTTGTGACGTGAGGCCGCCAGACACCTCTGGGTGCACAAACCCACCTGGACGCCAGCCTGGCTTCTTGCCCTGCACCACCCATGGAAAGGGCCTGGGCCCCCTGTGTGGCCTGCATAGAAGGAGCCCCAGTGTCAGATATGCAGGAGGGGAGACACTCACCCTCCTTACCCCAGGCGGGGGCATGGGTGACTGCAGCCGAGGGCAGGGTGGGAAAGTTGGTACTGCAGGGGGTCTGGCTTCAGCCTGAGTTGTCCTCTCCTCAAGACCCGACAGCGTACCAGGGCATGGGCCGCCTCACCTTCAGCGGCCTCCTCAACGCGCTGGATGGCGTGGCCTCCACCGAGGCCAGGATTGTCTTCATGACCACAAACCACGCTGACAGGTCAGAGCTGAGGAGAGGGAGGGGGACGGGGGTCTGAGGTCATAGGGGAAGGAAGGCCAAGCACCTCGAAAGCTCTTGGGTGAGGCAGCACCTGGGTCCCCTGCTCCTCCCCACGGTGGGTTCCAGGCTGTTGCCTGGTCCGGTGCCTGCTGCTACAAGCCCTGGGGTCGGCATTGTCCTTCCAGTGTCCATGCTGCATCACACAAGTAGCTGTGTCTGCACCAGTGCCATGGCTGCCTGGACATGTGTCTCCATGGGCATCCCACCCCAGCAGAAGCATCTCATCCCCTGGGCTGCAAAGCGGGTGGGGTGGAGCTATCACCTGTTCCCTCCAGGGTCTTGCCAGCTCTGCAGAACCCCCTCTCCCCCTCAAGCCAGGATCCCTGGGAACAAGAGTCCTTTCTTCCCTGCCATGTGTGGCGGGGGAAGGAGCTGACCAGGGAGGGGCACAGCTGGGCTCTGTGGGCACCTGCTTTGCCTTGGGGAAGGGACTACAGAGTCCTTGCCTATGGCTGGGGCAGGAGGCTGCACCCGTGCCACCCTTGTAACAGCCCCCCCATGCCCATCTCCTTCCTCAGGCTGGACCCAGCGCTGGTGCGGCCAGGGCGCGTGGACCTGAAGCAGTACGTGGGGCCCTGCTCGCGCTGGCAGCTCATCCACATGTTCCAGCGCTTCTACCCCGAGCAGTCGCGGGCAGCGGCTGAGCACTTCGCCGACCAGGCCCTGGCTGTCTCAGACCGGCTCAGTGCTGCGCAGGTGCAGGGGCACTTCATGCTGCACAAGGCGAATCCCCCCGGGGCCATCACGGATGTTGGGGCCTTGGCACCATGAGCTGCAGCCGGCCCTGGAGAACTGGCGTGACTGCGGGCACGGGCCCAGGCCCAGATCTCTTCTCTTCCTACCTCCACATGGCCTCAAGCTCCTGCTAACCAGGACATGCCAAACCCAGGGACCACCCCAGCCTGCCAGGGTTGCAAGCTGCGCCCCCCAAGAGCCAGCTGTTGGCCTGCGGGACCTACCTCTGCCCAGAGCCAGCTGCCAAGCCCTGGGCTGGATGACCTGAAAGGAGCTTGAGCCTGTGAGTTCAGCACAAGTCCTTGCCTCTGGCATGGAAGAGACTGGCACAGAGGGAGCTGCGGACACATCCCTGGAGTAACTTCACCCCCTGGCTGAGCCCTGTGGGCCGAGGGGGCAGTGCTGCGTGTGGGGAGTGTGGAAGGGACCAGACGCAGAGCCCGGCTGGGGCAGGTGTGTCTTGCGCAGCCTGGGGGTCCCAGCAGGGCTTGGAGGGGGACAGCTGAGGAGCTTGGGGGTGAATCTGAGCCCCACACCTGCCAGTTTAAACTGTTTTCCAGTGTCTGTGTGCTTGTGTGAATGCTTGGGCAAGGGGTCTGGACTGGGGGGACCCTCTGTTGACCTGGCTCTGCCTCTGGGGCCCAGGCTGGTGGGATTGTGTCCCGTGGTCCTCTGGGCAGCTCTGAACTGGGATCCCGTGCTTCTGGCCCAAGTGGCTGTGCCCTGGGCAAGTGCTGGAGTGGGACCCTGTGGTGGGAGGGTCAGGGCCTTAATGCCCCCCCATAGAGCCCTCCATGCAGTTGGGTCTCAGTTTCATTAGGCACCCAGCCAGCCTGCTTTATCTGCCCATTTTGGGGGGGCTGTGGTCCTTGTCCTGGCCTCTGCCCTGGGGCTGTGGTTTGCAGCTGGGACAGGCCCCAGGTGGGGTGCAAGGTGCATCCTCCCAGAGCCAGCCTGAACACGGGCCAGGGACCAGACAGACCTGCCGTGCTGGTTCATTCCAGCCTGCATGGTGTCAAGCAGTTACCTTGATCCATGTCTCCAGGAGCTCACTCCACCCCTCCTGTGCCCGGTTACCCTAGGGGAAGGCACTTCTGCTTCCCCTGCTGACCTGCCCCCGTGCTCTGTGGGGTCTCTGCTCCCCACTTCTGGAGAGGCCCCCTCTCCCTCCTGCCCCCTGCACCACCCTGCGTTCCCAGTGGGGGCCTAGCACCCTCCCACCCTGGCTCCGCTCCAGCCCAGGCACGCAGCCAGGTCTGGGCCAGCCGAAGGGAAGTCGGGATTGCCTGAAAGAAGTCTTTCCTGTTTTGGCTTGTGGGGAGCAGGACCCAGGCAGCAGCCATGATGTCCCTGCACCGGCAGCTCCGTGCCTTCCTGTGGGCCAGAGCCCAGGGGCCTGGGCTGGCCCTGGCCAAGGCCACAGTGGGTACCACAGTGCCTGGGAGGCTGAAGTCCCTGGAGGAGCTGCCCGGACCCGGTGTCCTGAGGTGCCTGTACTGGTACCTCCTGCGAGGGTACCTGCTGCACATGCATGACCTGCAGGTGAGCAGGGGCTGCCCTGGGCTCTGGGGGCTGTCCCGCAACCCTCGCTCCCCCAAGACTGCTCACTTGCTGGGGAAATGCAGCCAGCTTTGGAGTGAGGCGGAGCACAAGGCTGACAGCTGGAGGGGACTTGGCCTGGGGTTGCAGCATTTAGCTTCTGGCCTCAGCTGGACTGAGAGAAGGACGTGGGAACCGTGCAGCAGACCAGCCTTACCGCCGTGCCCAGGCAGCTGCTGGCACATCCCTGGAGAGAGACCTGGAGGAGGAAAGTCCCCGAGCAGCCACAAACCACGTGGCACTGGCTCCATCTCTCTCTCTGATGCCGGGTGGGAGCCGAGTCCGGCCAGCGCCTGTTTGGTGTGGATGCTGCCGGCGTGGGAAGCTCTTGGAGAAAGTTTGCAGCAATGTCCCAGAAAGGCTGGGGAATGCGTTGGAGGACAGGGCAGGATGCAGGAGCCGGGGGGGATGGGAAGCTGAGCTGGGGCTGACGGGAAGGAGCGCTGTGCTCGCAAGTGAGGGAGCATCGTTGAACATCCAAACACGGCAGTGCCCCCAGCGGGGGATGGCACCACGGAGAAGGAACTCGGAGGCCTGCCTGGGGCATCACAGGCTTGTCAGGGGCCGGCAGGGAGGCCACCATGCACAAGGCCCACGTGCTCCTGGGGCCCAGCGATAGAAGCAGCGGGTGCAAGACCCGGGGGCGATGGCAGTGACTGCTTGGTGCCGGCCAGGCCTTGTCTGCAGGCAGCTCCGGGCTCCACGTGGTAACAAGCCTGTGGAGATGTTGGAGGGGGCAGAGGCTGCGATAGGGTCAAAGGCAAGTTGTGCAGGGAGAGGCCGAGGGACCCGGGCATGTTCTGCTGCAGGGGAGACGTGGGGGCTGCGCAGAGAGCGAGAGCAGCTTCTCTCCTGCTGCCCAGGGCAGGGGGTGCCCACAAAGGTGCCCAGAGGGGGCCGGGTTCGAGGGCTGGAGGCTGCAGCCAGGCAGGTTAAGGCTGGATCTCTGCACTGCCCGAGCAGTTAAAGCCTCCCCTCCCCCCCGAGGCGCTGGGGCTGTGCTCCTGCCCCGGAGGCTCCCAGACCAACCCCCAGCTGAGGCACCCGATGCCCGGATCGCAGGCCAAGGTGGGCAGGCAGCATCTCACAGTGCCCACCTCCCCCAGGGGATCTTCAAGCAGCACTACGGCAGCCTGTGGAAGCAGCACATGGGCCCCTACATGACCGTGAACGTGGCCTGCCCTGAGCTGCTGGAGCAGGTGCTGCGGCAGGAGGGGCGCTTCCCCACCCGCTGCGACATGGCGCTGTGGAAGGAGCACCGGGACCTGCGGGGCCAGGCCTACGGCCCGCTCACCGAGTGAGTGCCATGGCTCCCCTCCACCCCGCAACCCACGCAGGCTGCCCAGGCCTCTGCTGGCTCCCAGCCCCCCAGCTGTGGGTGGGCACAGGGTGCCCAGGTCTTGTCTACACTATGGCCCCCAGGCGCTGTGATGCACCCCACTGCTGCAGATGCAGTGCACAGCACCACCTGCAGCGGAGCCCCGTCTACACTAGGGCTCATCTCCGTCCAGGTGCGGGGGGGCTGCTGCGGGTGCAGCTCAGTCTGATGCTTGTGCCCCGTGCAGGGATGGGGAGCGCTGGCACCGGCTGCGCCAGGTGCTGAACCGGCGGATGCTGAAGCCGACGGAGGCCGTGCTCTACACCGGGACCCTCAACGCCGTGACGTCTGACCTGTTGGGGCGGCTGGAGGCCGAGCGGCGCAGCAGCCCCTCGGGCCAGGGCTTGAGTGACGTGGCCAGCCTGCTCTACCGCTTCGCCTTGGAGGGTCGGTGCGGGGCGGGGGCCGGGCTTGGGGGCCCTGCTGGCCATCAGCCCCGTGGCCCTGCCCGTCCCAGCCCCTCCCTTCTCCCCCCAGGCATCGCCAGCATCCTGTTCGAGACCCGCATCGGGTGCCTGGAGCCGCAGGTGCCACCCGAGACCCAGCGCTTCATCGACGCCATCGGCTGCATGTTCCGCGACTCCGTCTTCGTCACGGCCCTGCCCGCCTGGACCCGGGCGCTGCTGCCCTTCTGGGACCGCTACCTGCGCAGCTGGGACACCATCTTCGCCTTCGGTCCGTGCCAGCGTGGGGGAGGCTGGGTCGTAGGCCCAGAGGGAGCAGTGGGGTCGCATCCAGCCGGAGGCAGGATCACCCCATCCAAGCCTGGGGGGGTCCTGGCTGGAGGGGACCAGCATGAGTAGAGTAGAGTAGGGTAGGGGGGCTCTGCTTCCAGCTGGGCCCTGCCTGCCCCTGCCTCGGTTTCCCTCTTGCTGCTCACCCCTGTGCCCACAGGCAAGAAGCTGATCGA